ATCTTAATCTAGACCGACTGTGTACCCTATCTGTGCCATACAGCAACACTCCTTAACACTATGGAACGCCGCGCTTTGCTTCGCCTCATCACCGGTTCGGTTTTTCGTGGGACTCTCTACACTGGCTGAAACAACGACAATAGCGAATTCATCCGTTCGTAGCTGTACGCACAGTTAGTACCTGTTGTGGGATCTTCTGGAGACCATGAGGAGATGTGAGGTAGGGAACTGAAGTTTGCGAGAGGGTCCACGGCTGTTCGAAAAATACCTTAAGTAGAAATTCCCCGGTGCTGCACCAACCGCTTCTCGCCCAATCCATGCCCAGTGTGCCGAGACAGCAAGGCATTTGCCGAGCTTGTTGTCAAGAAGCATGCATTTCCTCGAAACTGAAAGGGGTCATTCGTAACCTGGTTTGCTGATGATATTTATGTTATGTATTTATGTTTACGGGGGAGACAGAGGCGAATGAGGGGGCAGGGAAATGACAGCGAAAGAGGGGCAGGACGGTTGGACCTCTACTCCAGTACTGCTGCAAACCAACTGTGGAGGCGAGGAGAGCAGCGGAAGGATGTGCGGTTACACGTACACGTATGTGCGCGGACTGGTTGAAGTACTGATCATCAGCAGAACATGCATGCGATAGACACACACACAGAGGAGGCTGACCTCTGCACCCGCTGAGAACTAGGCGATAGATGAGAGACGCTCATCCTTTTGTTTATTTAATGGAATATTTCCTGGAAGTTAGTCAGAAGTGAGTCGGTATAGAGCGTGAAAGCGTGACCTTGTCGTGGAATTCTTTGTTCGTCTGTATTATACATAGATTGTCTGAGGCAAGGTTGCAACAATATTGGTTTCTATTTTTCAGAACAAAAAGCACCCGTATGGGCCGCCCTGAGAAACAGTTACTTGAATAATGTTTTCCCGTCTCCGCTCATTACCTTCAGCTATTCGTACTGGTCCAACTAACGCGGACGCCTTCTGTGGCTAGACTACTCTGACTACACGAGAGATGGGCTTGCGGCAACAACGCGACCCAGTCGTTGCAGTGTTCGGATGACTCGCTCCAGGCAGGGCAAGGCAAGCGCAATCTCGGAAGTATGGCCAATGCCCTCTGCCGGTACAGCGTCTGGACAGCCAGCAGCGGGCAACCCATCCACGATGAAAGATAAAATTCAGTAGTGCGAAATATAGGTGTTCGAGTGTGTCTATCGCACGAGATGCGGAGGTCAACCGCGTGTACATGTGATCCTTCAGTTTCAGTTGCTCGGTTGGATTTGTTCTCAAATCGGTAACAATCATGTCACCGACATTTTCTACCCAAGATCTGTTGCCCCGCTCGTTTGGCATGGTCTCCGCATGGAGTTGATTTCACCATCATGTCAAACGGCATGCACAGCCACGGAACGGTTTGGAGGGGGCCACGACCGTCTAGCGTCGAGACCACGGTACCTGCGGTCAGATGAATTCACACGGAAGCCACGTCGCTCTCAGGCGGCCGCAAGCTGTCGAAATCTCTGATCACGATCCAAAACACGCTCCATGGCACCTCGCAACACTGCAGGTGTTTTGCCGGAGAGCGCACACACATTTATCGGAACGCAACCGAAGCCTGCCTTTGCGGCACAACCCCAGTATTCCCCTGTATTTGCTGTATGAATCCAGTATTCCTCTGTATGGGTTACCCTGGGAGTGATTTTTGGTGTGTATGGTGGTGCTGGCACTCCTCTGTGTGTGATACCTTTGTTCTATGTGTCACGCACGCCATCATGTGAGCCCGCAATTAAGGTGGCTCTCGAGCGCTTTCGTTTCATTGAGAAGCTGAAGGGATGTTCGTATGTATGGCATGAAGCCTAAAGCTCTGACGACGGCAGTTCAGGCGTTGCACGAAGACAGCCATATCGAGATCAACAGGCGCGCGGTGCCGAATGCGGCTGCCAGTGTGCATGGGGCAGAGCAGCCGAGGGATGCTGCCGGTGCGTACTAAGAGGTATGTCCATGTTTCTGTTGAGACTGTGGCTTATTTTTTCTTTTGTCGCATGTTGTTTGTTACTCAGCGCGCAGTCCGGGCGACCAGGCCCACACTACCGCAGTTAGAAATTGGGAGAATATATGCCATGACACCAAACCAAGAAATATTGGCCGTGAATAGCGCATGCCGTCCTTGTGGTTTATTGTTGTCGCCCTCAGAAATTGCGGGCGCTTGACATGTTGGGTGGTGTTAAAATCACCATGCAGTTCCAGATCATGGCCGCGACTGGCGACGGCGGAGTGTGCGCGATCAATCAAGGTGGATGACAGCGGCCGCCTGACGCATATCTGGTGGCAAACGAGAGAGAAGGAAGGTCGCCGGTCGTCGTGCCCCAAGCGAATACTGCCCTGCGTCACATGGTTTGCTTTCATTTAGTGTATCGCTTCGTACGTACCGCTTGGCCGTCCGCAAGTGTAGAACCTCTGAGTGAAAGGAGAACGTAGCGAAGGAACGTGTGCGTGTGATGCTACGAACACACGTCACACCCGCAATGAGATGCTCTCGACCGCCTTCGACGTAATGCTCCGAACAAGTAGGTGGCGCTTGGATAGGCACGGTCCCGTTGCACTGTACGACGACGCCGCCGTGCAGAACAGGAAGTACCGCATGTTCCGTAGCGTGCTCGCTGTCATCGATTCGTATCGGACGCGAATCGATCGTCGGCTGAAGCATAAAGGCGAACACGTGACACCACAACGTACACTTTCGTGTGGATGCTGGAGAGTACCTTGAGGTCTCGTGGGGGGAAGCAGCCGGATATCTTCACCCAGCATGCGGATGCGGCCATGACGGCGGCGTGTTCCCGGACGCGCTGACAAGGCGCCTTTACTGGCACCTCTACAAAAATATTCTGAAGGCCCTCGCTAAACCCTTGGCGGGAAGATTTCGGAAAGAGTATGGCGTATTCTGTCGTGTGTGTTGGCGTGCTTCGTCTGGCCTCTCCTGGTCTTGCGACGTACACTCGCACTCGTAACCCCTGTGCTAACCTCTGTGCAAGTTCGTACGTTATCACGCATCAGTGCCGCTTATATGTCATCTACTTGGAAGAGTATTTCCAGCGTCGTTGCGTACACCGTGATGCGAGCACGGCCTCGGCTTGGACGGAAACGAACTTCAAGACGTTCCGTGTACACAGAAAAAGCAGCACAAGCAGCACCAGCCAGCAGCAACCCGTAAGCACACATACATAGTCTGTTGAGTTCAGTGAGGTTATTCAACCCCTTGTCAAGGGTCTACGTGAAACAATATTTCAAGGCACGTAGGCCTACCGAATCGAAAATTGGGGTCCGTGTGGGAGGGGACAAATGGTCGTGCATGCCGTAGTCGTTAGACCATTGACCTCGCATCCCCAGATCGCCGGGACGGAGCACGCCGGGTTCTCACCGCACCAGGCTCTCACATCACCAAGCGCGAAGCGCCGTGATATATTCGGCGAGTCGCATGAAGGGTGCGCTCCGCCCTGTTAAGGGTGTTCGGCATCTTGTGCTCACTTTCTTGGGTACGGATGACAGCTGCGTATGACTTAATTTATTTACTGGTGCTTTCACCTCCAGAGACAGTTGCAAGCACTGTGTAACTGCCTCGAGGGTGCCTGACCTATTCATCATAACAAGGTGCGATTATCCTTTTTGCGCGGAGTGAGGGTTCTCGACCCCGAACAACATGATCTACTCTACGAGCATTCATGGTTACCGCAAAAAAAAGAAAACGCAATAGAAAGGCAGTAGCCTGGTTGCCGAGCTCACGAAATAATCGGGTTGTTTTTCAACATCACTACCAAGCGACGACAACCCAACCCCGATGGCAAACACCGGGGGGTTCGCGGGGGGGGCGCTCTGATTTCTTTATAGAGAATTAACCAGAAACGGGTACACCAGGGTGGATTATCACCATTTCAGGGTACACTTGAAAATCAACACGACACCAATCTCCGACAGCATCCGCCGTAGATCGCGGCGAAACCAATCAATCGCTTTCCGTATCCTGCGTCCTGTGCCACGGAAGAAAGATGCACGAGGAAGGTCGTGCCCGTTTTTCTCTCTCTGTGCCTCTCTCTCTGTGTGCTGTTACTGATCAGTACCACACCGGAGTACTCGCGCGTCAAGCGAGTCCGACCCTCTGTTGAGAGCGGTTGCCCATGAACGATAAACGAGCGAGCGTTGTTGGTGGTTGGTTGTGGTTATGTATGTGCGGTACCCGGTATGTGCAGTACACGGTTTTCCCTGCATGGTTTTTGCTAGGGCGTCGGGCGCCGGGATTTTATGACCATTTCTGGGCACAAAATCGACCTCTTCCGGGTCCACCAGTAAGCAATATCGGTCACACCAGAGGGTCCTTATTCCAGCGGAAGTTGTACCCGATGGATGTTTCCTAAGAAATGGGTACAATGGTGTTTCGGCCAATCAGCTCACAGCCTGGGGGTGCAAGCGTGTTGATTTCTAACTGTACCCTAAAGTGGTGATAAAGTACCCGGGTATACCCGTTTCTGGTTATTGGCCTTATGTATAACTGCCTGAGGGGCACCGTGGATAGAAACATATTTACAGTAGGGGAGGTCATGGCTTACGTTCGTGAACGAAGCCCCCTATACATATTCCAATGTAAAACGTAAAATGGAAATAGCTCTCCCGCGGCTTTGTGCCCGGAACTTGTTTTGACATACATCCTTACCCTTGTCCCTTTTTCTGTTCGTCTCGCCTTTGAGCCAACACGAAATGTACCGGGTTGATTGTGGCAGTCAATCGTATAGGCCGGTAGCTCATGCGCCTAGACCGTGACTCACGCAGCACCCACTCGGCCTACGTCGTGTCGGGAAGGCCTGGCTGTTCGTGTTTTCCGCAGGCTTTCATGGACGAGTTCAGGTGTGTGCCTCAGCTTTTGTCGTTGGCGAAGCTCGTAGGGAAGTTCAACATCCTCATCGCCAAGTACCCGCAGACGGAGAAGTACACCCGTGTGGCATACGACGACCGCGCACGGTGGGCGGAACACGTGTCGCCTCTGGCATTCTCTGTGGGTTTGAGGACGACATCAAGAGTTGAAGGTGCGTTCAAGGGTCATCTGCCATGAGCGTCTTGGTCGAGAAGCACAGCACGTACGTGTAGTGTTGTCGTTGTTCTTCCTTCGGGATATGTTGAGCGATTTTTGGGGTTGGGGGACGCTATCCTGCTTGAGTAGCGCCATGTACTCTGACATCGGTGTGTTGCTTGTTGACCAACNCCCGTGTGGCATACGACGACCGTGCACGGTGGGCGGATCATGTGTCGCCTCTGGCATTCTCCGTGGGTTCGAGGACCACATCAAGAGTTGAAGGTGCGTTCAAGGGTTATCTGCCATGAGCGTCTTGGTCGAGAAGCACAGCACGTACGTGTAGTGTTGTCGTTGTTCTTCCTTCGGGATATGTTGAGCGATTTTTGGGGTTGGGGGACGCTATCCTGCTTGAGTAGCGCCATGTACTCTGACATCGGTGTGTTGCTTGTTGACCAACTTGTCGTACGCCGTCAGTGCATACCAAGGGTATATCTACTCTAGTTGCTGCTAATGTTTACCACCTCTTCGAAAGTTGTGGCTGTTGTTCGGATGCTGTTGTTCCAGTATTGATGAACGGCCGTCCAGGGTGCACGAAGGAGCCGTCATGCGGGAAAAACGGCAGCAAGAAGGCAGAGGTCTGCTCTCAGCACATACAACGCGGCATGATCAACCTCGTGAGCAAGAGGTGCGGCCATGCAGGGTGCAAACGTGGCGGTCCTATGGAAACGACGGCAGCAAGCCGGAGGTCTCCTCTCAGCACAGCGAGGGAGGAATGGCGATGTCCGGCATGCGGCATGCGGATCACCAGGAATAGCACTAAGACGTGTTGTCGCATGTGTGGTCTCGTTCCGTTCCGAAAGGTCTTTGTGTGGTTAGAGGTCCGTTATGATTGACCTTTCTACATATGTGCGCTACGTACATGGCTCGCTTGGCAACGGGTTTCTTAACGAAGTGTTGCCATCGAAAGAACGTCCGGTCAGTCTTGACAAACAGTTTCTTTCACGTGCCTGGTGTCTAAGTGCATGTAGCCGTACTTGTTTCGCCTTTGATTTCGTCGGCTTGTACACGCTATGCATTTGAGCAGGGGTTACGCCAGGTGTACTACATACCATCGTGTACCTGGGGTCATTGTTGGAAGTGAAACTCGAGGGAACAACCTGAAGTCGAGGTCATACAACGGGGGGGCAACGGGGCAAGAGCGTCGTCCTTGCATAAAAGATCATCAGATTTCCAATTGCACAGCGAGCTCAAAAGACAGTTGTTGGTGATGCAACGGTGACACCTGAAACAGTTGCGCTTTTCATGGAAGCCATATTGGCTTCTCTCCTTCGACGCTGGTAGGGAAACTCCAATTTTCTGTCGGCGGTGGAAGCATCGTCGTGTGAAACGTGCTGCAAATGAAGCAACTTCTCCTTGGGAAGTGCCCTATCCAAGAGGTACTGGACTGATCCGCTGTAGGTGGTATGAGTCCGGATTGGTGGTGCCGTGATCTGTTGGGGCGGGGAAGGTGGTTAAAGCTTGATCCTGAAAAGGAATATGTGCACTTAGGTGAAGGATCGACGCCCTGTCCCTCGACGGGCCTGCCGGCCAGAATGTGGTACAGATGAAGATAGACAGTAGACGATGGATGCCGGGGAAGTAGCGATAAGGTATGTCGCTCATTGTTGCGCTCGAGAACAACTTCCAAAGGTTGACTTCCGCGTACCTACCTTCCTGGACCAGAGCTATGGCTGCTTCTAAAACCACACTTTTGTGGCTGTGAGACAGGTGAGGGCGGTTCTGTTGTAATTGTACTCTTGCCCTAGGACCATTCGATTGATACTTGTATGTATTGGGGGTTCGGGTAAGACTCCAACTTTGAAGCCAGCGGTTCCACTGATGCGCGGCCGCGCAAGCTGCGGTTGGCGCGACCATACAGCTGTAACTGATCCCGAGGCGTCACGCCACTATTTGATCACGCTAGCAGCAGGTGCGGGGCGGTCTCACAGGTATTTCTCTCCTTTCCGGTGTTTTCCCGTATTCATGGTAAGGAGATGTACAATGATCGGCTGTATGCAGGTCAGTCGCCTTCATCCTTTTTCGTATCGAATTTGAAATGGCTTGCCCCCGTCGACTTACGGCCGTTTTAAACGGACCGACTTTTTTGTCAATATTTTCGACATTTGTCTTTCAAAAACTTGGAACCTGTGTGCAGTCATTTTAAACGTGTGACGTGGACTTGTGCAACTTGTGTAAAAAAAAATGACGCCGTCCGTGAGTTGTAGCGCTCACTTCGAGACATTACACACGACACAACACAAACCGCGGAAAACACGACATCATGGACACCGACATGGATATCACGACCACCCAGCGTGGACGGCAGACCAAAACCCCGGCGAAATTCCAGCAGACGGGCTCTCTCGGTGCCGCCGTAGGCGGTGGAGGCTTGCTCTCCAGCAAGATAGTGCTGCTGCCTGGCATCTCGGGGAACACTCATGTTACCACGGGAGGCGCTGCCGCCACCAACACTCAGAGCGAGGGTGGAGCAGGCCGCCGGCGAGGGGTGGCAACCACTGCTCCTACCCCNCTACGCACACTGCTGCACAGTTGTCGCCCGAGGTCTGTACGGCTCACCTGCTGCCAAACACAGCCGCCACTACTAGAAAATGCAGGGATAACTACATTACTGCCCATCGCTCCGAGCCGCTGCGGTAACATCTTGGTGTTTTTGTGTTTTGTTCGGGGACGATAGCAGCCTTTCGAGGGAGTCAAGCTGCCCACAGGCGCAGAAGATAGGTTAGTCTGCAGTACCGCAGACCACCAGACTATTGTCCCGTCCATCGCCAAAGCGTGAGTTCCTCCCCAACTACGGCCTTTGGGCTGGCGCGGTGGTGCGTGTACATCGCACTTCTGCATGGGATACACCGGACATGCGAGACTGACCTTGCCAGCAATGAGAAAAGGCGTTTCCCGTCCGGCATCTCTGCCTGCCACCTGCCACTTGCCAGCTCGCTCCCTCTGCCCCTCCCCCGCAGCCCTGCCCAGGGGAAACTTCGCCGGAGCATCTCACACGGAGAACATAGCCGCCCTAAGAGGAAACATTTGCCCTCAGATCGTTTGATTAGTGTGGCATTCGCAGTTCCTCGAACGCATGAGCTACATTACCCTCTTCACAGACCAGACAAATTGTGTAAGCCGGCTCGCACACGCGCTGGTTGTGATTCTGCGGTACGTAGTTTCCGCCGGCAGATCGAGGACGAGGAGTCGGGATCCTCCGACCAACGCATCTTCCTCTTCCCCTTTGTTTGTGAGTTGCTATCCTGTGTATGTAGCTGTCTGTAGGTGTCGGACTGCAGCAGAGTTATAGCTCGTTCGTCTACAGCGGTATAGTCTACATGTATGTGGTTTCGGTCTACGACGCTCGACAGTGGAGTTAGTGCTGTAGTCTAGAGGTGCCGTGCCTCACGAGGTTGGCGGTCGAATTTTCCGGTGGCAAGGCCCACTCTGATGCCCGCGTTGCTGTTGTTGCTGTCTCCACATTGCAAGATGTGTGTTTTCGTCCAGTTTGTTCGAGCGAAACGAGACTTCGAGTCTGGCCTGAGGTCTCGCCGCAATATAGGGCCCCATCCAGACCAAAAAGTTTGTACTTGAAGTCTGTTCGCTTAGAAAATCTATCACTTGATTTTAGACAACAGGGGTCAGCAGAGGCACTTTTTTTTTCGGAGCACATTGCGGATTGCAGCAGAGAGCACACGCACTGCGGGCGACACCACAGAGAATACAACACACGCACAGCAGACAGCGTACGCGTAACAGGCGACACCCACACATAGCCGGCGACAGCATCTGGGCTTGATGCCGCTGGACTCGCTGTGGTGTGATCAGGCCATGTATTGCTGTCGCGTATGTTTTTTTTTTTACCGCCGCGTTCAACCACCAGCGATGTGAGCACAGCACCACATTAGTTCTCGAAACCTAGGACGCCGATCGCCATCGCATCATTTCGAGCGTGTGCTCCGCTGTGGTGTCTCTTTGCGTGATAGTTTTGTTGGGCATGGGTGCTGTAGGTGGCGAGAGCATCGTTGCGATGTGAAATCCGGTTTGATCATTCGCCTGGCGATGCGGCCCGATTGCTCGGGCCAAAAAAACGATTTGGATTCCACGCCGCCACGAAGGTCTTCCCACACACAGCACCCATGCCTAACAAAACCGTCACGCCCCGAGATATCGCAACGGAGCACACACTCGAAGCGGTGTCATGACGATTGGGGTGCTCGGTGACGAGAAGTGACTCGTGTCCCGCCGTTTCGCTGGCAGTTGCAAAAATACCGAACAAAAAAAGAGGCAGGGGATTCAGGTATGCGGGGGGTATGTATGGCCACGAAAGCGGGATGTGGACGAGGGGGGGGGTATCCGGTAGGTGAATGCTAAATTTCCCACAGCTCTCACACCAGCGCACAGCAGACGTAGTATCAAGTGTGTAGTGTTTGCACTCTGTTTCCGCCCGTGGACGCACACGTCTGACGGCAGTTTCATCCATCAGCTATCGCTACAACGACCGACAGCTAGTATATCTTTTTGGCGACAGTCCCCCCATTTTTCGTGGCGAGACGTGCTGCTGTACACTCTTCGCTGTATATATTATTTCGTACAACTACAACCACCCAGGGTCATACAGGAGGGGGTAAACACCAGGCCTTGTTTTTCTTGTAACACATTTCGTGCCCCACCTTTCTCCTGCGGTGCGTGCTGAATTTTGTAGAGTTTTTTTTTGCAGAAAGCGGCCTGGTAGGGTTGCTCTTTGTTTTGTCAGAGAACTCTGTTTAGAAGGATCGCATGTAGACTAGATGTAGCGCGCAAAAAAAGAGAGACTTGACCACGAGCGGCGGAGGGGGAAGCATGAGTGTCTGTCCGTCTTGTGTCCGTCTGTGACCATGGCCAGGCTTGATAAATACGCAGCAGACTGGTGCCCATTTCACCATGTAGGCACCAAACTGCAATCGAAGATTTGCCCACAACAAGGAATATTTGCCCGAGCGGTCCCATCTGCTACATTTTCAGTCCGTGGTCGGTGCGTCCAGATCGCACAGCACAATATACATGTCGCCTTCAGGCGTCCCCGACGTGGAGGAGGAGGCTTGTTTGGAACCAGACGTACGTAGGCATTGGCTCACGCAAAAGACAGCATCACCCGGAGCCAGACATGGTCAAGGACCGGGGAGGGAGACACACACCACAGCGAGAGTTTTGGGCGAGAACGAGGCGGGAGGAGGGTGTGCCCAATACTACTGCTTTTAGCTCTCGGCAGAGGAACGAGAGGAGAGATGCATACAGGTTGTAGTTGTTGGTCTCTCGGTTTTGTTGCAGGGAGCCAGCAGGCTGCGGGACGTAGGCTGGCACGCAAGACACCACAGACACACACGGAGCCATGGACAAAGGAGGAGGGAGACACACACCACAGCGAGGGCGAGTCGGTGGGAGCAGCGTGTGCCCTGTTTACAATACTGCTGTTAGATTTCGACGGAGGAGCAAGAGGAGAGGTAAACGTTTGGGTGGGTCTCGGTCACCGCTCCTTGTCAGCAGCCAGCGGCGGCAGTTGACGGCAGTGCCTCCATACTTCTCCTTCCGTGGAGAGAGGCACATCACACCAACAACACACAGACACTGTTAGGGGTGCCAAAGCGGAAAATTTCCTACTGGAAAAAATTTGAAAAAGCGTCCTCGGATCTTGCTGATGGAAAATCGACCATCCAATGAAATTGCACCGAACCGTCGGAACCTCCCGAAAAGACCCTCTGACGCACACGCGCGAGGGCGCGGCTGGCCTGTGTGCTTTGCGGCCTGCTATGGGGCACAACACAACACCATTGCGCGGTCCCAGTCTAGAACAGAAGTATGTCTTATGATACGCCCGAGCAGCCCCCGGGTGGTGAGATCGCACCGCCGGCTGTTGCTGTTGCTGCTGCTGCTGCTGCTGCTGCTGCTGGAGAAAACAACAGCAGCAGCGGCGGCAGCAGCAGTCAGGAGGAGCCCCCCATCATCAACGCGCATCGTCTCGGCTGTGTGCTACACATCCTGCACATCTCCATCACCGCGGGCATGACCAGCGCGCTCTTCATGGGCCCGCTTGGTAAGGGTTCCTGGCATGAGTGGGAGCGCGACCATATTTTCTCCCTTCTCGGTATGGTCTGGTACAACACAAGCCGCTCAGAATCGTCGAACGCAAATTTTCAGCGGTGGAAAAGGATAGTGGCGGCGCAGTTCCCTAACGCGAAGCCGTGGCTCATCAAGTTCATCAGGCCTGCTGAGACGCGTTGGATGGTGGTTATGGACGGGGCCAAGCTCCTCTGTGAACGCTGGGAACAGGTCGAGTGGCTTTTTTGCGAGTACGCTGCTAGAAACCTCAACAAGACGACTTTCAGAAACTACTGGGTCCAGTCGGCGTGCATGCTTCGAGATCCTTTGGTTCGTGTGCATGTCATGTTCACGGCAAGGCTCGGAGAGCTGTTGTTCGACTGGGCGTACAACTGGATTCATGGCAAAGGGGGGTCCTTTCTGAAGGGCGAAGGGGTCGNTCTGTGAACGCTGGGAGCAGGTCGAGTGGCTTTTTTGCGAGTACGCTGCTGGAAACCTCAACAAGACGACTTACAGAAACTACTGGGTCCAGTCGGCGTGCATGCTTCGAGATCCTTTGGTTCGTGTGCATGTCATGTTCACGGCAAGGCTCGGAGAGCTGTTGTTCGACTGGGCGTACAACTGGATTCATGGCAAAGGGGGGTTCTTTCTGAAGGGCGAAGGGGTCGGTCGGCGGCTGTCTCCTGGGATGCGTTTGGTGGAGGTGGCTGACTTCTCACGCCTGCTTCTCCAAAAGTTGGAGACGATCCACAAGGATCCCCAGACGTACTTCNTACAACAGGGGTACCTTGCACATCCTGGAAATACATTCCACGTACCACACAATCCTACAACCACTTGGCATTGCTACAAGTATATCTATCAGCCCCCCCCCTGCTTGTGCCCCCCACCGGTGTTTGCCATTGGGGTTGGGTTTTCGTCGTTTGGCAACGACGTTGTAAAACAAGCCGCCCCCCCCGGTGTTTGCCATCGGGGTTGGGTTTTCGTCGCTTGGCAACGACGTTGTAAAACAAGCCGCC